CGTAAGCCAATTCGTTCGCATACTTATCCAATAAATACATTTAAATTACAATTTATTGAAAAGTACAGCGAAATATGTTAAAATATTTTTAAACATAACGTTATCAGTCACACAGTGTTATAGTAACTTAAATTGCAGTAAGCCCTTAATCAAATCAATACCTATTTATAATGCAAGGGAAGTATGTTTTTGGCACAATATTTTAAGTACAAACATAATTATATTAAATAATAAATTAAAAGTGATTTCATTGTTCTTTCGTGTTAAAAATTATAATGTAATATTTAACATTTCGTAGTGGCAAAAAGTTATTTTCTGGTGAAAATTTTATATAAAACATAATGAGTGTTTAGGTTCAGTAATTGTTTTAGAAGAAGTATGTCGTGAAAGATACGCCCTTCAAGTTCTATTAAATCAAGTAACATTAAATAAGTCAAAAACCTTTTACTAGAAGGTTAAACTGCGGCAAGTGTATTTTGGAATTTATATAACTTGTATAATTACGTTATTTAGTTCATTTTTTTTTGAAAGGTTTCAAAAGTTTCTTAAGAAACTAAGTGTCTCTCCTATATAATTACACCAATATTATTTTGTATAAAACTAAATTAAGTAAGATTTTTAATTAATATTGAGTATTTATTTTTTTTAAATGTTTTATACGCTCAAATAAATTTACATTTGTTTTATCGGCACATTTTTTTTCACATTATTAAGTACAACTTAATATTTTATTTTATTGATTAATTGTCGAACTATAATCAAGTATCAATTTAAATGGGCATTTTTAATTTGTATATTTTGATTTAAGTTTAAACTATAGTGATGAACTGATGCCTAAATGTTGTTAATCGACTTACCATATCTTTATATTATGATTATCTATTAAAAAGTGATAAATGGCAACAAAAAATGTTGTCTTCAAATTATTAATACTATCTTCATAGGAGAAATATAATTGATGTATTTGTGTAAGTTCTGTGAAAAAACACAAAAATCTATTCATAGTATAAAACATGGTTAATGAATCCTTTCACAGACTAAGCCAAAAGAAAATTTTAACCCGAATCAGCTGAAAGAAATATCTCCTGTATTCAAACAAAATTCAATTTTAATTTTATAAATGTATTTTAACTTATAATGTAATGCAGGAGACATAATCTCCGCCATGGGCTTGTCTAAAGAATTATCTTTCAAAAATAACGAAGTCGTATAAGAAATAAACAATATAAAAATAAATGTTAGATTTCAAATTAATTTCGGAATACTTTGGTTGCCAGGTATAAACCAATTGAAACCCTATACTTAAACTTCACTTTAATACAGAGTCTGAGATTTACAATTTGTAAAAGTCAAACGACCAGTACAGCGCTAATAATATATATTTTTCAATTAAATTACTGCCAATTACAATAAAATAAAATAAGAGAAACAAGTTTGCCAATCAATCCAAATTCGAAGATCAAACAAATATAATAATATAATATAATGACGACTGTGGAGTTTATTGACCGGTTTACTGATAATGTACGTATTATATCAACAAAAGTATATTTCTCTCTGGCAAACGCTAATTAGGTTACGGTGTCGTTACTGAGGCGATCTTCAGCAGGTTATCGGTCGACCCACTTGTGTTTCGGTTATAAAACGTAATCTAAATGAAGTCGTATATTGGCAGTAGTAGTTTTAATTTTAGTGAGAGATTTAATTTTATTATCCGCTAGTAGCTATGTGTGAATACATAATAGTAATATACATTGAATTTGCAATAATAATAAGCGTAGACGTACTTTACGGTTTCCACACTGGGTTGTAGCCTGGCGTTGAATGCCGTCAAATATGTCAAAAGTCTTTAATCCCTTGTCACCCCGCATAAGTTACTGTAAATAAAAAATTTTAATAACAAATATTTAAATACCTTGTGCTATATTAATTATTGTTGTTACGTGTGTTTGACAACAAGTGTATTGGTCTACCCGCGTCTTTATTCACAACAAACTGTAGAAGAAATATTCAAAACATCATGTTTACGCTCGCGAAAGGGGGTGATGCAGAAGAACCTGTCTGGAAAAAAGGCCTAAAGTTTAATTCTGAAAATACGTTTATTCAGGATTTAAAAATTATAATTTGGAGTAACTTATGCGTGCGAAAATCAAAAATCGTAAACGCTTGCAAGGATAATATATAAGATTTGAAATACTATCGATGTAGCCTTTCTCAATTTATTTTAACGAAATTTATTTATGATTGTGGAGATATTTTATAGGAGAATTGAGTGTTAGATATTATACTAACAGCTAATATAACTTCCGCATTGATGTAATACATAATAATGTTTTTCATACTTTCGGGAAGTGCTTTAAATACACAAATATAATTATTATCTTAAGGATGTTAAATGTCTATATTTTAAGATACGTATATGATATTTTCATTAAAATTAGTATTCAACTTCACTGAAATTTCTAAAGCAAAACGTTATCTTTTTATAATTTTAAATTTTAACTAGTTTCATTATATACACACCATTTTAATAATTATAACAGCATTATTATTATTAAAAAAGAAAAATGTTTTAAAAATCAAATAGTATTATTTGTATATCAAATGTTATCTTTATAATCAGTGTATATTTTGTTTTAGACATATTGAGACTAAATTCTTATTTTAAACTATTTTATTTTCTACTGCACTAATGTAGTGATTTTTTTTATTCATTTATTTTATAGTCTGTGTGTTACAATAAATTTAAAAATCAATAAAATATGTTTTTTATGTTTTATGTTAATATTTCCATACGTGTTCTTCAAGTACAATAATAATACAATAAACATGCTGCACACACATAGGAAATGTAAAATTTTTTATTCGACAACATACATCTCTTTTTCCATTCCACATTAAGAAGTATGTTTTGAAAGTATATATTATCCTCTTTAGACATTGATATTCTCATTATTATTCCATGTAACAGTTTTCGATGGTGCCAAAACTATTTTTTGATGGTTGGGCCGTTTAACAACATGTCGTTAACTTTTAATGAACATTCGTGAGTTCTGACATAATGTTGCACTAAAATTGCACTGCTGATTTTTTATTACCAGTACGGTACGCCATACATCTCCAATATGGACTTCCTTTATAGCCTATTAAACGACCTCGGAGAGGTTATTTTAAAGAACGCAAAAGACTATATTTTAGATGTTTATAAAAAAAAAAAATGTAAAATCTATCATCACAATGCAATGCAAATGATATTATTAAAAAATAAAACGAAGACATTGGTAATAACAAATTTAGTTTGCTGATAACGTGAAGAAATGTTTCCTTTCTTTGGTAGGTATAGATCATAGGAGTATTTATTGAGTTCTCATTTGTTACTTATTATATGCATTTGTGTTCATGTATTTTGTTTTATACAAATCGATTATTTTTGCAAATTCACATTAGAAATTAATATGTTTCCCGCGATTCCCGAGATTCAAATACAAATTTACGGTTGATATTATTTTATCGACAGTTATGACACTGCGGTAAAATAAATATTTAACAACGACTCTCTACCTCCTATATATGTAGTGTGTATACATTTTGACTGTAAATATTTTAATATTACATTTTAAAATATTACATAATATATTTTATTTATTAGAAAACAAATGCATCTATAGTACAATAATTTAAATCAAACAATTTTTTTCACAAATGTTACTATAGTTGTTAGAAAATTGACCTATACCTACTCAAAAATAAAGATTGTAAGAAATAAATTATTTGTTTTTCTGATTACTGTTCATTCATTTATTGTAATTAACTGTAATTTTAATAGTTAAAAACACAAAAACACTATCCAAAAAAATGTAATCAAAAAACTAGTAAACTAGGTAATAATGATTCATAATGTTTCACTGAATGAAATAATATACTAACTTATTAATTGGCATATATTATTTTGATATTTTTGGAACAACAAATATTAACATATAAWCATTTTAATCAGTGAAACAAATATACAAACTATTATAACTTTTTTTTTAATTGCGTCATGTGCGCAGAACGAGAAACTAAAATAATATATTTTAAAAATATTTATTGTATATATAGTATGACTATCTCCATTATATAATTATGTTTCAAAATTATTTATTCAATTTTAAATAACTTGTTTTTTATCCATTTTTAGTAAATGTACTCATTTGTTATACACATATATATTTTTAAGTAAACATTTTTCTATACTATTTTTTAATTGTTATTATGACTTATGAACAACGATTTTCTGTCTAAAAATCTAACTTTTTATTTCTCAACCATTTTTAAATTGTGTATTCAACGTATTAAATTATTATTATTAAAAATAAATTAAATTCACAATTGAACACAATACACTACAGGGCACGTTTATTTTTAACAACAATATATTTTACAATTCTTTTAGTCGTATAATGTGCTCTCTTCATAAAATACTCACATAAACTACGGAAAAACACCGCAATACGTGAGTGTATTGTAACTTGTAAGCTTTATTTTTCCCCCGTTATGAATAGAGGAGTCTTACACACAAACACCGAGTGCTGATTTGTTATAGTACAATGAATGAGTAAATAAATACATTGAATTACGAATGTAAACTAATAAATCTTGTTACGATCGCATAGAAAATGTTTGTGCCATGCGTATTGCATACGTCATATAATAAAATATTATATTAAAGTCAACTATACGAATATTTAATTATATAATATAATAATATTATCATCGATGTCCAGACGGTTTTACAATATGTGCATAATATTACAAATTTCACTTAATAATTATTCGCGAAATCGTATACCATAATATATTATGCATTTATCTGAACCCCAATCCATAGACGACTGCATGCGTTTTACAACAGTTTATTATTTTATATACTAGTATACTACTACGAGTGTGCACGTAATTAACACTCACTTTTCTAATAATAATATTTCTGTTATAATTTTTTTTTTTTCGTATTTTAGAAGACAAGAAACTTTACCTTCCCACTGACGAAACTACAGAATTGTACTTGTTAGCTTTCTTAAGAGTCTGCAAATTCTACCCGGACAGTGCATTCAAAAGAGTTAGTATACTTTTGTTTTTACGAACCTACCTAGATACACAAATATTATGACCTACGCATTGTACGAATATATACGCAGGACTACACATAATTAACTAATTTATTGAATTTTCCTTTTTGAACGTAATAGTTTGTGTTTCTTCGTTTTATTCATTATTATATTTATCATTATTTCATTTTTATTATGTAGCATGATTTTAAAAACTAATTTAGATAGTTTAACTTAGAATTAATATGTAAAATAATGATTAAAAAATAAATCTTAATTTGTTCAATTCGAAGAATATGTCTTAACATAGTATACGATTTTACTTTTTGTTTATCCATTGCCACTTTTAACCGATATAACAATTATTTATTTTTCATAATGGTTTAAATCAATTAAAATACGCTTAAGTTAATTATTGACATAATTTTCTTAGTTAAATATGCTATTTGTAAATATGTACAATCACTTATAATCTCAATCAATTTTTAGGTGAAATTTTTGTACAAATTACGCCAGAAAAATCCAAAGTACTGTAATGACTTACTACCGAGCTTGGAAAAAAACGTATTTTCTCAGAATATTCTTACAGTCTTACCATCGCGTGATCAACACGGAAGAAGAATATTAATCACAGAATGTGGACGTACGTCTAAATAATAAGTATTATACTTGTTGTAAAAATATTTGATCAACTGCATTGGGAGGTAAAATTATTCATCAATGGCCAATGACACATCAATTAATACGTATAAATGTAAATAAATACGTATGCCGAAGTGACAGAGTAATATGTCCTTAACTCCCCAAGGGCCGTGACCCAAACTAGATGGTTCACAATGCTGGATATTTTAGCATTTTAAACTTAAAATTTAAAACAATAAACGTTTGTCTAAATTGGGGTAACAGCACTCTGTGTTAGTGTGCACTGGCCCAGTTGCTTGCCTATTTAATTTTACAAATACCTCGTATAGGTAACCACTTTTTAAATTTTATTTAATTATAAAAATATATAATTTATTTATTGGCTGAATTCGTAACCCAATTATATATATATATATATTGAATGTGTACTTAGTCAATTAATTTTTATAACTATTTATATTAAAAGTAAAAGAAGAAGGTACCAACTTACTTAAAAAATTAAATACGTTTACTATACATAATAATCGTATGCATCTTAATATATTATTGTATAAAAGCAATAAATTTATTATAAATATTTCGTTACTATTAAAAGTTCACAAGTATTGTCAATAATATGGGATTATTTCTTTCATTTAATTGTTGAAATAATTGTGTTGATGATAATATTATTATATAATGTAAAGCTTCTGCATTTAATCAAAATCGATGAAATATGTGCTGCATACTACATTGACAACAATGATTGAATTACGGTTATAATAAAAGCAAAAATTACTCGATGTTATCCTCCTTGTTAATCTGACAGTATAATTATGATCTGAAATTCATTGTTTTGCGTTTCCTGTAGAGAAGTGGAAAGTAAAAAATTGCTCACTGGTAGAGATTTTTCGTGGCATCGAGCTGGTGATAGAGGCGGCTATTCTTGAACCTAGAACTCAAGTGTCGGGCACTGTGCTGTTGGTGGACTTTGATGGTCTAACCATAAACCATGTGTGGCAATTCACACCAAACTTCGCTAAACTGGTTTTGGACTGGATACAGGTAAAGACAATTGTTTATTTCTACATATCTACTACTTGATTGCAAGACACTGTGCGCCTGTGGTTTTTATTATTGGTCACAAATTAATTTCAATATAAATTGAAAAATAATAAATTGAAGTATTGAAATCTCGTCTATCATCCAACATTTTAAACATATCTGGCATCTGATTACCAAACATATGAGAAAAAAGCTTGTAGATTATGGTTTGATAAATTAATGAGGCTATAAAGAATACAACTTTAGTTTAGATTTTTTAATTACATAAAGCAATACGTAATATGACTATAAAATCTAATAGTTCCATTTCATTATGCGAAATTTTCAATAAACGAAAAAAACTTAAACAAATGTTCTCAATGCTAAAACATTATTTATTCATCTAAGAGTCGCACTCAAGTATATTAATCCGAATATAATAATATATTATTAATTATGGCAAAGCTATGTACAAAAATTAAATATGTTTGTTGACATAAATTTAAATTATAATGGTCAGAAAGCTTATATATTATAATTCTGTACAATAATAAATCGAGAAAATAATAAACTAGTAATAATTATACATATATTATTATATTATGATGAACAGAAATCTTATTCGAGATTATAATATTCAAACGATAGGTAATAATTATTTGCATAGATTTTTGTTATTTATAATAATACAATAATATATAGGTTATCGATGATAGTTTTAAAAAAGGCAGTAAAATTAATTTTTCGTTATTAAAATCTTAAATATTATGTATTCTAAAGAAGTATAAACACAAAGAATTTTGAAAACGATTGAATCAAAGCAATGATTTCAGTATACTCACAAATAGTATATTTTTGAGTATACTTCTTAAGGTTATTAATAATAATAATCCAAATTAATCAAAAAATGATTTTGAAGTAATATTCATATTTAATACTTAATAATATAGCTTTTAAATTATTAGTTATGATAATTTTTTTATACATATATAACATTTTGTGATGTATGTTAACTACGAAGATTTCTTGAGCCCGCTTAAATGAACAAAAAAATCATAATTTGAAAACTTATGTAAACTAAATTATGAAATATGTATTTAAAAAACATTAAAAAAATTTATAAAATAAATATACCGCGATTAGTTGTTTGTATTCGATGTTTTTGTTATTAATTTATTGATTCCTATTAAGGTAAAATAAAAAAATCAATAAATTTTTTTGACAGTTTGCAAAACGATTTTAATTATTTTATTAAAATTTGAACCCAACAAATGAAAAATGAAAATATTATAATGAAGTACTAATACAATTAAAAAATTTAAAACTAATCCAAGCAAAAAATACCAACTATAAAAATTAACACTAAACTGTATTTAATAATTAATATTTAGATATATGATTTATAATATAATTCGCCATAAATAGCATTTTCTTGAGTTTTTTTTCCCCAATAATACTAAATACATAGACCTAAAGATGGTTAGTACAAATATATTAATATTATTAGTAACCATCTGCTAATAATTATTAAGTACCAACTCATTTTCATTAAACCATAGACATAATATTGGTCTTTGCAGCTCTATACTTAATGTTATCTCCTATAGGTTCTAATTAAAGAAAATATTTTGTTTCAGTATTCAATGCCCGCAAGACTTAAAGAAGTGCACATCGTAAATCAACCGTACATATTTAACATGGTGTTTTCAATGTTCAAACCATTTATGCAAGAAAAATTAAGAAATCGAGTATGTTTAAA